CAAAACAAGAAATAAAAAATCATAAGAAGAACAAAAACTATTACAGCAACAACAACAACCTCAAAGTGTCAAGGTGGGTGGTTGGCGGGTGCTCTGGTGTGGTTTTTTTCCTTCTTTCCTATCAAACATCTATCGTCCTTATTCTTCTTTTTTATGTTTGTTACTCTCTTGTAACTCCTCTAATCTTCTGGCGCTCAAATGATCTTTTGCAGTTGCGAGCCCCGTAAAACCTCTACTAAAACTAAAACATTCATTTCCCTTTGGTTACCAGCTGTGCTTCCTCAACAGCAATTTTGAATGCTTGTTGACTCATAACGGTATTTCTGTTCAACCGTTGGTTGCTTATTGTTGTTAGATTTCCCATTCAACAACACTTTACCGTGAACCACCGGTGAAACACATATGAAGTTACGAGTCCACAAGCTTTTAAAATTGGCACCCTCACAATTTCCAGTTTGTGACAACCGTCGTTTTCCCCATGTTCTCTTCGTGTGTATTTTAGACTGTTGAACAAAAACGAGCGTATTGTCCCTCAGAGAAATCAGAGAAGAGCTCGGTAATTAACCCTATCCGTGCGCTTTTGAGTCATTTTGTTCCCCCGGGGTTGTATTCTTCATATGTTTGAATACTTCTAGTAGGAAGATCTCTTTGAAACTTTCAGTATTTCTCAAAAGATCATTTTGACAGACTGCTAAGCAAAGTGTACGGATCGGATTAATGAGTAAATTTCCTCTTTGGAAAGTGGTGGCACAGAGTTCCCCACATCGTAGGGATACGATAGTAAAACACGACGTTTGGACAGGGTAAAGATAAAAGCTCTTGGACGGGCTTAGCTTGGGGCCTTTCCCATGCATAGACCCTTTCCCATGCATAGACCCTTTCCCATGCATAGACCCTTTCCCATGCATAGACCCTTTCCCATGCATAGACCCATTCCCATGCATAGACCCTTTCAGGAGAAGAGACGCCTCTAATTGTATATTAAGTACCCACGTCAATATCTGTGCTCAAATTTATGCAATAGGAATATGAATACGAGAGTTTTAAGTGCTTCTGCTCTGCTGTCATTCTTCCCTTCCTTCTTCCCCCCCCCTTTTTTTATCGCTTTTATTCAGGCCAAATTCCCTGCTTTCAAAATAGCCCCTGACGGGGGTGGGGGGGGGGGGGGAGAGTTTACTGGTGCGCAGCAAAACAAACATGCTCAGTTTGTTTACATTGGTTTATGTTTTTGAATCAGGGAAAATTACCTCCCACCTGCTGCAGTCTTGTGGTTGCATCAGCTCCTAAAATACAACAGACACCTGTGTATTTTGCCATGCCTCTCTCTATTTTGATGGCCTCAGAAGCTATTCAGCGTAATTAATTTTATGACCAAAAAAAACAAATAAACACAGCAGCAACAGTTGGGTTGAGCATTAAAGGGTCTAGTTGCCTGTGGTGTAGGCTATCAGACATCAGACAGGTATCATGTTTTTGGTTTATTCATTTACACAAGTGCCCCACTCCCTTCCTTAAAAATGTCTTTCCCTAGACTCTGTAGACCTGAACAAGCACAAAATTTTTCTTTTTTTTCATCACAGTATATGCTTTTGTGGTGTTGTGCTGGTTCAAAATCCAGTTTTCAGTCAAAACAGCCCTCCTCTTAAATGACTTAAATTACAGTTTATTTAGATTAAAATTTATTTCGTTCAATAGAAGATCAATAAAGTACATCATGTGTATGTTAAATGACCTTAAAATGTGTCAATAGATGTGTAAAATATGTACTCTCTCTCTTGCCCTTGACCTTAGCAGTTGCGAGCGCCGTAAAACCTTATACTACTAACTAACTAACTAACTCTCTTGCCCTTTTTAACTCCCAGTGGAGCATGGTCCATCAACAACATTTTTCCAGCGAAGCCTGTTCTGTACCTCCGTTTCTAGCTGTTTCCATGATGTCCCCGCCTTTTCCATTTCCGCATGTACCACTCACCTCCATGTCATCTTTGGTCTTCCTTTCTTACGTTTTCCTTATGGATTCCACATCAAAGCCTGTAAAATGTGTACGAATGATGCTCACATTTCCGAACCCCTCAGGACTACTCAGTACACACCTTACCAAGCGGAGCTGGCCCAGGGCCGCCTGGAGAGTCTCCTCAACTACCAGACCATGGTGGCCGACCTGATGGGTTTGGCAGTCTCAAATGCTTCTCTACTGGACGAGGGTACGGCCGCAGCTGAGGCTATGGCGTTGGCACAAAAGTAGGTGGACCCTTTCTGAATTATACCTACTTTTACTTTTTCATCCTGACATGTGGTTACTTGAGGGAGGCATTGCGCTGCCAAGAGCAAAACGCTTGCTGCTAAAGGGATTTGAAAACAACAACAACTTTTTCATCCTCTGTTGCCGTTAAGCGTTGAGGGGAGAGGCAGTTTTCTGTTGCAGGCCAGCTCTGCAGCTTTTTCAATTGGGATGTCATAATTTATAACTATATACAGTAGAAATTGTCTAAGACGGTCACCGGTTGTTTTTGGGAAAAGTGATTGTCTAAGACAGGTGACTGTTATAAACAGGTGGCTGTCTTACTCATTGTCATTATAATGTTTAAAAGAACTATTGAGGGGAATTGAAAGAGGTCATTTGTACAGGGGGTTGTCTTATACAGGTGACCATTAGAGCAGGTTCAGCTGATATATAAGTTGAAGCTGACCACAAGCACTGACACAAATATTGGCAAACTCTTTTTTAAAATGATAATAATATATAGATTTTTTTTTAAAATTATTATTATCATTACTATTGCCATTGTAGTGATTCTATTTATGAAAATTGCTAAAATTGGTTAAGCTCACCCTTCTCACAATTAGCTTTATTTGCCTACTTATCTCTCCGAGTTAATTGCTGTTGTTAAAAATATATTGGTTACATCTGTCACACAAACCCTTTGGCCAACAAGTATTTAACTAAATTAACTGTAAATTGAAATGAGGGTTTGTTCCTGATTTGTGTACTTACACCTGTTGGTTTTGCTTATCTCTGAGTAGGTTTTGTATCGTTTGTTGAATTTTATTTATGTAAAGCAACAATAGCAAAAGTAGCTTCCTCAGATCATCAGCTGACCGATCAGCTTTTCATAAAACAGTGATTTTATGAAGCCATACACTCATTTATGATGTTGAAATGAGAGGTAATGTTCAAAAGTAACTCTTTCTAAGTGAAATAGTATGTTCCATTATCACAGTTTCATGTTCTTTGAATTCAATGTTTATTTTTTGCCCTGAGCTTTTTGTGGAAAATAATTTTAAAAAAGAGTTTTTTAAAATGGGTAAATTTCTTCCGCATCATGGAGACTCAAAGGTCTTTGACATTGTTCTCAAACTTGAAGGTGGACTTCCATTTGAAAAATGGAAACTCAAATGTATCTCATTGGCTTTGCAGGCAAACAAAGAGGAAAAAGTTCTTTGTGGATGTCAGATGCCACCCACAGACCATTGCTGTTGTAAAAACCAGAGCAAGGCATGTATTACCAACAAATTTTATTTTTTTTAAGCAACTAAGCAACAGCACAAACGGTTATTAGTTATCTGTTTATTCTTTCCTGGGTGATATATTTGGAACGTCTCTTATCATTATCATGTATATGCGTGGGTTTATTTCACTGACAAATTCAAATATGTAATGTCAGGTTATTGAACCATTTTAGATGCATGAATAGAGAGTTTGATGTCAAACAATGATTTTTAAGTGCTCACCCCTCAGCAGGGCAGTGCTACTGACTGAAGTGTCTTTAGGCCATTCCCAAAGGGGAATATTAACATGTTCTTACGCACAGTAGAATTGTAAATGGGCTGATTTATCAATGTCATGCTCATACTGTGTCGGAACAACATAGGGGGAATGGCTGCTTTTTTTTTCCTCGTCTTTACTATCGTCATGTTTCTTCTTCTTTTGCATGTTTGTCACTCTCTTGTGAACCTCTATTTCCGGGGTGCCTCTGATAGTCGAAGCAGACTTTGTGCTGTTGAGGCTAGAAAGGTGAGCAGAGTAAGCCTGATTCCCCATTTGGATTTCTCTTTTGACATCCACCGCTTGGCGCTCATATAACCTTATGCAGTTGGGAGGCCGTAAAACGTTACTTAAACGAAACTAAGTGCTCATAAATGTCTTGAGCTTTTCATTTGATATTTGGTTCGCTTAACAGAGTTTTGAAGTGAGGAATTAGACTGTAAGTGAAGTTTCTTGGGGCTTTTTCTCTCTACACCCTCATTGTAAGTCCATTAGCTGCAATTATGATTAATCACAATATATTAAGTGATAATTTTCAGTTTACTTGTTATGTATAAAATGAAGGTTTTTAGTGTATTTTAGTTTGGTCTACTTATTCCTTCTTCTTTTCGATGTCATTATTGTCTGTAAATGTCATTGCCTCAGAACTATTTTGTCCAAAGTACCCTCTATACTTAGGTACACTTTAGACAAAATAGTTCTAAGGCGACGATGTCCCCGGAGAAATAGGTGGTTTGTAGGCTGCCTCACCATACCCGGCAACTCAATTACGTAAACAAAATAAGTCACAAAGACCAAAGTTTTATAAGTATTTGAATGAGGAGTACTTGTCATTTCCAAAGTTATCTTGAGGACTATAGGTTAATAATTAAGTATAATGTTTTTGACATTTTAAATGTTGTTTTATCTCAATAGTGGTCAGGGAATTGAAGTTGTGGAAGGCAGATGGCAAGACTTGGACCTCAGCGGCAAAGATATGGCGGGAGTCCTTATCCAGTACCCAAATACAGATGGATCCATTCAAGACTACACTTCTTTTGTTACAGAGGCACATCAGAACGGGGTTTGTAACTTCTTTTTTTATTCATTATTTTTGCAGAACTTTGAGATCGAAGCTATAGACATTACAAACAAACTCCTGACTTTCAAGAGAACACAAAAATAAATATATGCATTTTGACCTGCATCTATGCTTTAGTCTTGCATAAATGACAAGTATCTTCAATGTTTAAGAAAGAATTTTTATTTTGAGATTCATCCAACTTTTCATCCCCTGGACTGCTTCATAAGTGGATGCTGTTACTATACTCAATTCTGATATTTCCGAAGATTGTTCTACAAAAGTGTTGAGAGTGATGTAAGGTTTCTGAGTAGTGAAAATAAGAAACTAACCCCTGGAGAAAAAAATTCCTTTTTTTAAAGAAATAAACTCTAGTTTGTTTTAAAAGTTTATCATGATCTCTTGAACAGACTCTGGTGGTAGGAGCTACTGATTTGCTGGCCGCCACAATCGTGAAACCTCCCGGTGACCTTGACTTTGACATTGCCATCGGCACCAATCAGAGATTTGGAATCCCCATGGGTTATGGGGGTCCACATGCCGGCTTCTTCTCTTGCAAACAGAAGTTTATGAGGCAGCTGCCAGGAAGAGTGGTCGGAATCACGAGGTAATTTTCTTTATGGATGTGAATTTAGTGAAGTGCTGGATCATAACTGTTGAATGCCTCCTCCTCACAAGTAAATCTGAAATTTGTTGGAGGGTTTTTTAACAAGCTGAGATATTGATTGGTTGTTCTTTTTATGTCAACAGCATTACACCCTAAGTAGACTTTATTTTGTTCATTCTAGTACTGAAAAAGTTGAAGATTTTTCCAAATGCTTAGAATGCATATATTTTCTATGTTTCCTTAAATGTCACATTTGTTGTAACAAACATGAAAAAGAAGAAGGGAAGATAAGGACGATAGATGTTTGATAGAAAAGGAGAAGCAGTTTGTGTTAACAAACCATCTTTTGTTTAATGCTTAGGTCTAGCAAGGGGAGGCTAAAGAAGTAGAAGGATAAGAACAGTCGTATTTTGTTGTTGTAGGGATGCAGCTGGAAGGCGAGCGCTCCGACTTGCCCTACAGACCAGGGAACAGCACATTAGAAGGGACAAAGCCACCAGCAACATCTGCACAGCTCAGGTAAAAGGAAAAGAATCTTTTTAAAAGGCAGCTTGTTGCTGTAGTTGTTGTTGTTGCTGTAGATATTGTTGTTGCTGTTGTGTGTGTGGTAGCCTATCCGTTTGAAATGTTTGGAGCCCCGAAGAGCGTTCTCTTCGCCAGGGCCACCGCCTCTCTTGGGTAGTGGGTGAGGCAGTCCAACCTCCCTGAATCCTCCCCAAAGAGATGCCACCGCCGGATGTTGTTGTTGTGGTTGTTGTTGTAGTTATAGACCCAGTAACTGTTGAGCTTTCTTACATCTCCCTGATGTGATGTGGTCAACTTTGCATATCTGCTTCAGATGTTTTGTTTGTTTCACAGTTCTGTATCAGAAGTTTAAAATGTTTAGTGGTGATGTAGAATAAGCTCTCTTAGGTTTTCTTGTTTTACTAAAACTATTGAATGTTTTAAGAGAAAAGGTTCAGTGTAAGCAGGAAGCAGGTTATTGCAAGCAGACTTTGTGCTGTTGAAGCTAGAGAGGTGAGCAGAGTAAGTCAGATTCCCTGTAAGGACTTCTCTGTTGACATATACCCCTCGGCGCTTATATGACCTTATGCAGCTGCGAGCGCTGTAAAACCTCTCTAAAACTAAAAAGGTTTTTGCAGATCAATGTGATTTAGGGGAAAATGTAACTGATTATACCTCCCCTAAGTTGGAGATGACTTATTTGTCTGCCTACGATGGAACCTAGATGTTAAGTTCATGGTCAGTGTGTTTCTATTTCAGGCTCTGCTGGCCAACATGTCGGCAATGTATGCCATCTACCACGGACCAAAGGGCTTGAAAGAGATTGCAAGAAAGGTCCATCATGGGGCTCTGATCTTGGCAAAGGGTAAATCTTTTTTTGGCTGATTTAACAGTCACTGGGACCAATTTGAGCATCATTACGTTTGTTCCTGCAGTAATTTTAAAGAGCAAAACTGAAACTGATATTCTTTGAAGACTAAAGAAACAAGTTATAATATTCTTGTTCAAATAATAGCAGCTTCAGCAAAGGCTGCGAGAAAGAAATTCGAATCATGGATGAGAGAGGAGGGGAGATAATAGTCAATCTGATGAAATGTTCAGCTAGTGATCCTTATAGTGGTCTGTTATGTCATTTCATAATTGTGTAAATCTTTTAAAAAAGAGATTCATGATTAGAGAATTAATTGCACTAGCACTGCATTAGTTAAATTCTATCTATTTTCTTTACATGATTGTCATATCGTAAATCTAGCCAATTGTAACGTTATGCTTGATGCTACAGCTTCTCACCAAAATGGGTTTATTGCATGATTCTGAATGAAAATGAAAAGTGGCTGACGAGTGGGGGGGGGGGGGGGGGGGGGCTCTCCCATTGTCTGTTAATTTCCAGTATTTGTTTTCCTAATCTGGTGATTATTGTGTTGACTCCATTATGTGGACAGATCGAGAACATCATTTAGAATGACTGATCACATTTCCCTTTCCCTTCTTTTTCGTGTTTTTTTTGGGCTTCAGGCACAGAAAAGGCTGGACATACAGTCAGTCCTGGTGCCTTCTTTGACACGGTCAAATTCCAGCCCAAGACCAGTCAAGCTGACATCAGACAAAAAGCTGAGCAGAAAAACATCAACCTGCACTATTTCTCAGATGGACAGGTATAGCAAAACTTGTTTTTTTTAAAATGTTTTAGGCCTTTTTCGTTTATTACTCTAGAATATAACTGTGGTTGCAATTCTGTTTTGTTTCACTGCAAAATTTGCTAATGTACTACTTTAGCAAGAAGATGATACTGTAGTGCAGCCATCTTATTCATACTGAGTTGCAGCTTAAACTGAGATCAAATTGTATCATTCAGAATTCTACTCTGAACTGTTTACGTCTATCAATTCTGTTGCAATCTAAAAATAAAACCTGATCTAACATAGGATAGCTGAGAAGTTTATTATGACATTGATCAGGGTTCATGTGACTTCCTTGAATTCAAGGAGTCCTTGTAAACTCCTTAAATTCAAGGAAAAATCTCCTTGAATTTGAAGAACCTCCTTGAAAACTCTTTAATTTCGCTGGATCAGACTTGAACAAAAATTTTTTGCGGAAAATCGAAACTACAATTCCTTTCAGACAAGTGTAGGCCTAGAAGAAATAGGCTTTTGGCTTGAATTTCTTGGCCAAATCTCCTTGAATTTGTAAAATTTCTCCCAGAGACCTCCTTGAAATCTCCTTGAATTTGGTTGGGAATTTATTGCAGGAACCCTGATTGATGCATACCTCTAAGAATATACGTTCTGTTGCAGGTCTCCATCGCTCTGGATGAGACTGTCTCTCAGGGGGACCTTGCAGATCTGCTGGACATTGTAGGAAGTCCTTCATCAGCTGTGAGTGAAAGAATGAAGATTTCTTTGTGTGTGTGTGTGTGTGTGTGTTTGTGTCAGTTCTTTGTCTTTAGTCAAAGCACATGTTATGAAAGTAGTAGAATCAAGTTGTAAAAGAAAATCAGTTCCTTCAAACAGTAAAATTAAAATCAATTCCAAGGTCAGTAAGTTAAAAGGCAGAATAATGAAGGGAAAGAAAATTGCAGTCTTCAAATTCATTTGCGTAACAAGAATGTCTTTTTTAAATTCTTCTGGTTAATAAGTTAGGATCACTGATTTGAAACTGCATGCAGCCTTGAAAAAAAATGAACTTCTTCAAGGATAAATAAAAGTTATGTTTTGAAATCTCATCAATATTTTGCTTCGTTCATTAAAATGTCTCTATGTTATTTATACCAACCTGTTTGTCTTCAGGATGAGCTTGCTAGTGAGTTGGGCGAGAACCCTGCAGATAGCCTGGAGAACAGCCAGTTTGCCAGGACATCTTCCTACATGTTACATCCTGTCTTTAACACGTAAGTCTTTTTTGTCTTATTTTAAAATGTTTTGTCGCATAAACACATTTTAGATTAAGTAGGTGGGGACTTCTTCAACCTTATATGTCAGGGCCAGTGCGAGCTGAGTGACAAACCACATCCCAGGAGGTAGACAGATCGGGTACTCGATTTTAAAAAACTTCCCCACTGAGAAACTGAATTCACATCTTCTTCATGTAATGGTGGAAAGCCCAACAACTACACCATAGACAACGGTAATTCAGTAGAGCTACATCTTACTCTGCTGTGTGCACTTCTGAATAAACCAGTTATACTTTTAAAACTCTGTCAGATTTTTGCAATAACAAATTTAGAGTTGTCAGCATTCGTGTACACGATCTGTATATCCAGACTCTATTTCTTTTTTCATTAATGTTGTTTGCTGCATTTTCACACTAATCAGCGAAAAAAATGTAGATATACTCTTACAGATAAAGCAGCTGTTTTAATCATGTACGTTATGTTGGGGACAAAACTAGGAAAAAGAAAACATAAAATGGTCAATGTTTTTCCTCCCATATTACCCAGGCACCATTCTGAGACAAATCTGGTCAGGTACATGAAGACGTTGGAAAACAGAGATCTGTCGCTGGCTCATTCTATGATCTCCCTCGGCTCTTGCACCATGAAGCTCAACAGCACTACAGAAATGATGGTAAGTTCCTTTTTTGTACAGTTCTCACTTCCCTGCTGAAATAGACTTGGCCATACCAATACCCTTACTTGTGACCGTCAAGGTACTCAGATAAAAGTTCATTCTGCTGCGTAGTAAGTTGGTAGTCCTTTACCTGTGTTTACTTCATTCTGGACAGCAGTTTTGGTTGGTTTAGGGTAGAAGAGGATGTAAAATTGGTGGTCTTGCCTATTCAGCAGCTATATTTTGTTGAAATAGATATGTTGAACCAAAGCCGAATCAACCAAACTGAATGCATAAATGCAGGGTGAAGTCCTTCCATAAGTACATTTTGATCTTTAATTTTTCTTTCTTTTAACGTTTTTGTGTCTTGTAATAACCAGATATAGAGATATAGAAAAGAAAAAAGAAAAGGAAACGCCTTTTTTAAAGAAGGAAAGGAACAGGTTATAATTGTTTTGTCGGGAACAACATATTGCTTTGTTCTGTTTTCTTTCATCTGAAACTAATTTTCTTTTCCTCTAGGCATGCACATGGCCTGAGTTTGCCTCTCTCCACCCCTTCATCCCCAAAGAGCAAGCCAAAGGATATGATGTGATGCTAACTGAACTGGAGAAAGATTTGTGCGAAATCACAGGCTATGACCGCATTTCTTTCCAGCCGAACAGGTAAAAATAATTGTCTCAACATTATTTTCAGGTCTTTGCATAGGATCATTTTATGTCATGTGTTTTGGAGCAATGAATTGCATTTTAGAATTTTTGGGGGGTATTTTTCTTGAAAATGTGACAAACGTACCAAAAAACCCCCCCAAAAAACAACCAAAGAAAACCCTGAAGTTTCTTGCAGTGCTACCTTGATTCTGGTGTACATTAAAGTCTAGCTTTATTTCTGTTTAATATGACTTTTGTCATTGTTGTTGTCGTTGCTGTTTGAGCAAAGATTTAGACTAGTTACTTGAACAGGTTGTTGACTGTTGCGCTGTTATTTTTCCCAGTGGTGCCCAGGGAGAATATGCAGGCTTGAGGGCTATCATGTCTTATCACCAGAGTATTGATCAACAACAGAGGAAGGTGAGGTTTTAGTTGACCTTTACATGGTGACATACAATATAGCGTTTGTGTTGAATGTTAAAAACAATTTGCAGCAATCAGAGAAGGATGAAGTAATGATATTATCCAAGGAATTTCTGCAAAACTAGCAGTCATTATTAGTTCCGTTTTGTTTTATGAAAAACTGGCCATTACCGTGTGTGCAGAAAGTTATATGAAAAATTGTAAGTGCTATTACACTTGTTTAATGTCAAGAACAACCCTTATGCATGGAGTCAACCATATTAACTTTTGCTAAAAATTGACATACACAAAGTATAGATTATGGGATGGCAAATTTCCTTGTCTAGCATTTCATGAAAATTAGATATTGTTGTTGTACTCATTACGTCTACAGTGTGTTTTTAGTCTTTTTTACAGCTCAAATTCAAACTTTGAAATGTGATGTGTGGGTGGTTGGTGGGTGTTCGGGTATTGTTTGCTCCTTCTTTCCTATCAAGCATCTATCATCTTTATCCCTCCCCCTTTTTTGAGTGTTTGTCACACTCTTGCAACACCTCTAATCTTCTTCACTTATATGACTAAATTTCGTTGCAAGTGCTGTAGAATGCTTACTTATACTAAAGAAACTAAAATGTGATATTCTTTTCTGGAACGATCCCGATCAGGTGTGTCTTATCCCCATCTCGGCCCATGGCACCAACCCAGCCAGTGCCCAGATGGCAGGCATGAAAATCCAGCCCATCAATGTAGATAAGAACGGAGCAGTAGACATGAAACACATGAAAGAAAATGTAAGACTTCTTTCCATTTCTTTTCGCTGCTTATAAAAAGGGTGATCATTTCTTTGTAAAAAATCTACAAATCTTGAATGCCTGTATTTCGTTACATTTGATTGTTTGTTAGAATCCACTGTGATGTTTCTGATATTTCTCTTAACTTTTAAAACGTGACATTTTTCATACTTGGTGCCTGTCAGAATGATTGTACAGTATGGCTTATGATTGTATATTTGTGTTTGAAACATAGTCACCCATTGATTACTCTATCTTTACAAAGTAGATATAAATAATGATGCCTACATTCGAAAATCATTTCAAATATCTCACAAAATCTCATAATCCTTCGTTCAATAAATAAAAGTTGAAGATGCAATTAAAGCTATTTTAAGATCTAGAGCTATTGTATAGGTCTTCAGATGAAAATTTTAAGATTAATATACTGAATTTTTTGCCTGCTTCAAATGTCTCAAAAACATGTTATGAAGAAATAAACTCGCACAAAAAAGTCAAGGAACAAAAATTCAAAGAAAGATAACTGAAGAACAGTTTAACAAAATTTATTCATTTTTTCCAAAAAGTTGCTTTCGACTCTTTAGATTAAGTGTGTACAATTTCAGATTTCAACAAAAATGAGAAGTTCATGTAAAATGAGTTTAAGTCACACTGGTCGGATTTCAAAAGTCTGAACAGCCATAGTTTTTCATGAACATGGTCAATAGTGGGTATAGCCACCCCGTTTGATTAAACACTCGGCACAGCGTAGACGTATGGACAGGACATGCCTTCGAAGGACTTGTTGCAGTAGGTTCTGCCCTTCCTGGACGAGGTAGCCAAGAGTTGCTTAAGGTTTTGTGCAGGAGGGTGGTTGTCTCTTATCCACCGGTCAATGGGATCCCAAATGTTCTTTATTGGGTTCAAATCCGGACTACAAGCTAGTCAGTCCATGCGGGTGACAGCTCGCTGCTGCAGGAAGTCCCCAATGATGCGTGCGCGATGTGGCGTGGCGTTGTCGTCCTGCAGTACAGCCTGGGGTCCAATCTGTTGCAGGAGAGAAACAGCAAGGGGGACGCAGGATTTCCTTCCTGTACCTTGCTGCGGTCAAATTGCCCTGTATATGGTACAGGGGGTCTTGTGGTGAGCTGAGAAGCCTCCCCACACCAGAACGGGCCCTCCACCGTAGGGCGCCACCTACTGGATGCACTCAGGGTGGAACAGCTCTCCTCGGCGCCTCCAGACGTGGGATACCCTGTCTGGGTGCAGCAGGTTGAATCTGGATTCGTCCGAGAAGACTACCTGGTCCCACTGACATTGTGTCCACTGTGAATGGCGAGCAGACCACGCCCGACCAGCTGCTGTGTGGGGCAGCGTGTGCCTTTGGCGCCTGGCAGGGACACGAGAAGCGAACTTGGCTATACGGATACAGTTCCTTACCATCTCCTCGCTCTCGTGGACATTGGCTGTCACCCGTAGTTGGTCCCTGGTGTCGTTTACAATAGTGGTTCGTGATGTCACGGCCTGTCTGATGATGAACCAGTTCATGCTGTCATTGGTCAAACATGGCACCCTGGTTGAGGCTTGTCCTGGACCCTTCCGGTCGCTCGTCATCGTTCTTGCAGTCTCCATATGACTGATGGGGACACCCCAAGTCGATGTGCAACAATTGGGAACGTGGAGCCAGACAAGGACTCGTTCTCTGTCGACGTCAGGCAGCGAGCGTCGTTGGACCATCTTATTGTAATGAAACGTGGCTGAAAATCGCTGGCTTTTAAAGGGTTGTAAGGGAGCAATAATCACAGCTAAGACATCTGTTTAGCACGTGCCAAGCTTAGTTTTAGCTAACAGTCCCTATGCCAATGTTGCTGAAGCAGAGAAATTTAGCCCATTTTTCATGATTTTCGACTGTTTCAGAATGCTCTGCGCTGTCACTGTGAAGCTGGTGCGAGCAAATTTGCTGTACAGGCAAACTGTGTCTAGTCAACAGTGCGTGTGCCAAGTTTGGTTGACTGATCTTAACGAGTTTTTGAGATATTGAAGTTTAAATTTGACAGGTGAAAACAAGCTGTTCCTTGACTTTTTGGGCGAGTTTAGATAGAAATTGGAATACAAGAGGGTAGTGTTTTATTGCTGTAAATCTTGAAACTAACGGGGAAGAACACTTTTTTTTCAGGTGGAAAAACACAAGGAGGAACTTTCTTGTTTAATGGTTACTTACCCTTCTACTCATGGTGTGTTTGACAAAGATATCAGGTAACCACTCTCTTCGGGGGGGTTTTTCTTCTTTTTTTTCTAGTATTTGTTTTATGTTGGGGTTTTTGTTTTCTTCTGTTTCTTTATTTTTTTAGGGGGAGTAACATATGAATAGATCACAAAATTATAGTAACAGTATTGGTTTGTATTAGTTTGTATAGCTCTTAGGTATTTTTTTGTGTTATTCTTGGTTCCCCACTTTGAATATGAAGTTCTTAGGAAAGATTATTTTACTTCACTCAAGTTGCCTCGATTAATTCTGATGCAAACAGCTACTTGATACTCAATAGTGACATAATGGAAATTATACTTATATGAACATAACAGGCTACAATGTCATATGTCCCTCTGTGGGGACTGAGCTCGTAGATTAAAATGACCTCAACTGACAAGGGAATTGTTGTGTAGTCATGCCAGCCTTCAATAGGTCAGATATTTATATATGTAGGAGTATTATAAATCCCTTTAGATGAAATTTGCATTGCATTGATCTTTCTGGGTTTTTTTGTCTGTAGTCTCCTCTGTTCCGAACAGTCTCAGTCATGTGTCACATAACACTTTCTGTCCTCTATCTTCTCCTCTGCATACGTACACAGGGTGGATGGTCTGGTGACTTATGGCTCAACTTGTGCATGAACTTACAGTTTTTCTTAGTCTCTTTGTTTTGCCGGAGGTTGGTGGGTGCTCTGGTGTGGTTTGCTCCTACTTTCCTATCAAACATCTATCATGCTTATCTCTCCTCTTTTTTGTGTGTTTGTTACTCTCTTGTAATAAATCTGACTTTTGGCACTTATATGACCTAATTGTGTTGTAAGTGCCATAAAACACTTGCTAAATCAAGGATGCTTTTTTTACTGAATAGTTTAATACTGTTAAAGTACTGTGAACACAGTACCGAAACTCAAACTGTAATTCGCACACTTTAACATATTTTTACTTACAGGGAGATCTGTGACCTGGCCCATCAATATGGAGGACAGGTCTACCTTGATGGAGCAAACATGAATGCCCAGGTTTGAGAATTTTACTTTTTCTTTTACTTTTACTAATTCATCCTCTGTTGCCATTAAGCATCGAAGGGAGATGCAGTTTTTTATGGTAGGCCAGCTCCGCAGCTCTTTCAGTTGTGATATTATGTTTTCTCAGGGTTTCCTTGACACCCTTGAGAGTAATGCTTTACAATAGTGTGTCGCGACACAGTGGAATCAGGCATTCATTCATTTTTGGGCATATGGAGCATTTACCTTGCTTTTGAGGAAAATTATATATACCTTTCCATCTTAATTTGAAGTCGAGCTGTTCATGATTGAAGGAGGTGGGGATCATCCAGCATCAGAGGATAAAGTAGTGAGGAAATGGCTGCCGAAGTTTGGTGACGTCCAAAGCCAGAGAGTCCTTCAAAACTACAAATTTACCATTTTTGGGTGGCCTTTACAATGTCTTTTTTTAGTGAAGTCCACACAGAAATGTGTTTTGTAACAGACATAAAAAGTGTTGGGTTCCCCCTCAAATTGATTTGATCAAAATAGCCCAACATGGAAAAATGTCAATTTCTTTGATTTCATTATTTTGACAAGAGTCTGATTTCACCACAATGCCATACATTTGTGTTAAGCAGGGAGTTGAAGTTGGATTAGTTTCCTTTGCTATCAGTTTTTCAGTTTTGTTGTACGGTATTCATTTGTCTCTCTGAAAATTGTTGTTTAGTGCAAAATTATAAAACAATTCTCAACTTTTGGGAGAGGTTTTATGAGCCAAATTAAAAATTCCTCTTTCAAAAAATCTTTGATCTTGGGAGTAATAAACTGTAGGTTTTTGAAAGTCGTAGCACATCCCATGTTTTATACAAATGGCATAATTTTGTCATGGTACATTGTCTCTCTCACATTTCAAGTAGCACTTTACGGGTTAACGCCCCCTTCAGCCAGATAAAACGGCACACAGACTAAAAATCATTCGTTTTTATATAATGTATCTATCATCAGGTGGGTCTCTGCAGACCAGGTGACTATGGCTCTGATGTGTCACATTTGAATCTCCACAAAACTTTCTGTATTCCACATGGCGGAGGAGGTCCGGGAGCCGGCCCCATTGGAGTGTGAGTGCTTTTACATTTGGTTCTGTAGTGTTGGATCTTTCACCAAATATGCCCTTACTAGCTGGGTACCCGTTTGATGAACGGATTCAAAAGAATTCATCGTCAAGTCTTGTGGAATCAGTGCGCTCTGCTTGTGAAAGGAAGCCTCACTTGTTTAAAATAGTGTCTTAAAAGATGGACTTTCCCAAGATTAGATCTAAACGAAATATTGAAAAACTGAAAATTAAACTATTGTGAATTCAGACTTTAATATAACTGTGCACCCTGTAAATGATTCTGAACCACCGTTATTTTTTTTCAGATTGGAAATTTATGTGGCTCGGAAGTTTTAGGCGACCAAAGTGACGAACTTTCACGAATATAATATATATAGATGGCTGTTTGTGGTGTAGGGGTTAGGCTTGTTGCTGTTGCACAGAGATGATATAATATATAAGTTCAATTCATGAGTAGAGAAAATTTTTTTCCAATTATCTCAGTCTTCTACTGGGATGTTTCTCCGTCTTAGCTCGGGTTGGCCCTGACATGTAGGGTTAAATTGAATCAGCCTGCTCCTAAAGAATCTAAATTATGTTAGTTGGGACATTAAATATTTACAATTATATTTTCTTTATCCTTCACCTTTCACTGGTGTTCAAGCGTTGTGTTTTTTTACTATCATGTCCACAGCAAGTCACACTTGGCTCCATTCCTTCCCACGCACCCTGTAATACAGCCAGAGGGAACAGATGAGCTACTTTCCTTCGGAAGTGTTTCGTCTGCCCCATATGGTTCCAGTTCAATTCTGCCCATCTCCTGGGCCTACATAAAGATGATGGGAGCTCGCGGTTTGCGAAAGGCCTCGCAGGTCGCCATCTTGAATGCCAACTACATGAGTAAACGGCTTGCTGGTCACTATAAGACACTTTACACCAATGAGCAAGGCAAGAACGCTACTTTTGTTTGGACTAGGATTTCTTTCATGTTCATTGTTTTCTTTAACACTTTGCCATCACATCTCACCGATCAAGATTTTCCCCAAAATGCCTTTGCCTTTGATGGCAAGGGTTTTTGCTATATGAGCCTTGTGATGGCAAAGTGTTAACGGTTTTTTTGGCCTACAGTATTTTCTTTTATGAAGTTTATGGCGTAGGTCAAAAGTCCTGTTCTTCACCTTCTCGTACCGCGACTAGTGGTCAGGGTGTAACTGGCTGGAACATATTCGTCTTACAGTGCAACTGATTTTTACATACAAGGCCATTTACTACTTAGGCAGGCCAAAGGACATAAGCTCAAAGGCTACTGGATTAATACCAACAACAAACAAGATCTACGTAGAGCATTGATTCATCCTTTGCCTACTGGCTGGTGCATGCTGTGGGTTAAAAGAGAAAACTGACCCGTCGGGGCAGTGTTACTGACTGAAGTGTCTGTAGGCTGTTCCCGAAGGGAGTGGGGACATTAACATCTCGAGTTCTTATGCACAGTAGAATTGTAATTGTAAATGGGCTGATTCATCAATGTCATGGTCATAACTGTGCCTGAACTGCAACAGGGAACTGCTGCTTTTTCTTTCCTAATCCTTACTGTCGTCATTTTCCTCTACTTCTTCTATATGTTTGCCACACTCTTGTGACCCGCTATATCTGGGGTGCCTTGATAGTGGAAGCAGACTTTGTGCCGTTGAAGCTAGAGAGGTGAACAGAGTAAGTCTGATTCCCTGTAAGGACTTCTCTGTTGACATCCACCCCTTGGCGCTCATATGACCTTATGCAGTTGTGCCGTAAAACCTCTACCAAAACAAAACAAAGTGAAAACTGACAAACAGCTAGACGAATAATTACGAGACAACTATAAGTGATGTTGGTTATGGCTTTTTAGACGTTTTTCCCCCAAAATGTTTCTGTAGTTTCTTAAGTTGTGATGTGTGTTGTCACTTTTTTCTTGCTAAAAGCTAAACCTTTTTTGGCGTGAAACTCTGTGCAAGTACTTTTGAAAGGTTGTTTTTTTTAGTAAAGTTAAGCCCCTTGAAATGTTATTAGTTTTTTGGGGAATGAGATTTTGGTGAGAGGAAGGCTTTTCTAAATGTCTTTGTACTCTAACAGCAAAAGTCACCAGGAAAATACCCTTCTGCAGCTTTTATATATGTTTCAGATATTGAATTTTAATCATTTTATGTCCAAAAACTTAACATCTGTTTTTTGTTGGTTTTGTCTGATATTTATATGAAATATATCTTTTTTAAAGATTTTTATTTTTAAGACAATGATTATTCTTTTGAAAAATTCTAATCTTGCAAGTCAACATTTATGTATTATAGATGTATGTTGAAATGGCTGATCTAAATTTTTTAATGTGTTTCTGCTACTTTCAGGATTCTGCGCCCATGAGTTCATCATAGATTGCAGAGAGTTCAAGAAAACTGCAAATGTTGAAGCTACAGACATCGCCAAAAGATTGCAGGACTACGGTAAATTTTCATCAATCTATATGTTTAACACTTTGCCCCCACAGGACGCCGATCGGCTCTGTGTGATATAGCATGTACCGCACCTGTTTCCTGATCCGTGGGGATAAGTGTTGCGCGCTCTGCGTGCTGCATTGATGGAAAGTGTTAAATGCTGTGGTACTTGCTCTAATGGGAATTATTTTGTTAATGATGGCTCAAATGTTTATGAAATGTCCATGCTCGGTTGAAATGTCATTATTTAAATGACCTGTGGTACTCCTCTCAGCACAGTTTGAAGAGAATCGTTTGGGTTTTTAATTTTGTCTTGGTCAATATTGCTGCCTTATTCTCATATACAAGAGAGAAAAGATTGTTATTTGTGTTTTTTTCTCTTTCATAATTCTGAGAACTATTTAACAAATTATGATACAAACAGAAACCAGATGATAGGCAAATCTTAAAATATACCAAAAAGGATCAAATCTTTAAAAATTAAAAGCTCAAAGTTACATTCTCTTGTCTTGTATTACTTCTGAAGGTCCTTCTCTCATGTTTTCTCACTGATCTTTAGAAATGCCGTTCAGGTGTTTGAAAAGGGAGGGATACTTTATTTATATTTGTAGGGAAAAGAGTGCTTATGCATAAACTAATTGTTTTATTTAATTAATGGCTGAACAAATTATGCATGCATAGGTAGCAAAATTTACTATAAATGAAATTGCCAGTTAAACTTCTTGAATCAAACAAAATGGAGTCCCTTTTTTTTTCGCAAGTTGATGCCTTCAGAAATGTAAATGATACCTATGTTTTTCTACCTCATATTAGAAACTTAAACCTCTTGTGCTTGTGTCCATGACAAGGAAAATTACTCTGCATCAGAAGCCTAGCTGGTGACAGTAATAATTTAGCCGGTTATATCTTTATTTCTATCTGCTGCCAAAACCTTTGATAGGACAGGGTTATCTGTCTTGAATCTATTTTTATCAACAGGATTTCACGCACCGACCTTGTCCTGGCCTGTGTCAGGAACTCTTATGGTAGAGCCGACCGAGTCAGAGGATAAAATGGAGCTGGACAATTTCTGTGACGCCCTTATCAGTATGTGTCTGTTTATCTGTGGTTTCCACTTTTATGATTCTTAGAACTGTAGAACATATTTTGATACATACTGAAAACAGCTGATAAGCAAATTTAGAAGAACGCCGAAAGGTATCACATCTCAGAAAAAGAATAAATCTCAAACTTATATTTTATTGTTTTGTTTTACCTCTGAAGGCACCAGGTGACCAAAAGAAAAATTTACCCGCGGCTTTGTATGCTTTCCGGCGGGTAAAAGTTTTTTAGGTTCAGTACGTATTTCTCTTTTTTTATTTCCCCCATCCCCAAAAATTTAGTCTTGAAAACATACTGTAGTGGAGAAGTTTTTAGTCAAGTATCTCCTTGTGTTTTCTGGGATATTATGTCCCACTCAGCTCAAGAGCAACCACCTCCTAGATTATAAAAATTATGCTTGTGGGGGTGTAAAACACAGTTTCTTTTTAACGTCTTGAAAATTACATTATCTTGGAGGATTATTTAGAAAAATATTAAAAACAGGACAGCACAATGTTGTGGAATCTTGTACCACAAAGAAAAGGTCACATCATCTGGCAATGAAGGAGAAGCAGCAGAATACAAAGATATTTGGAGAATCCAAGAGTGCTGATAAATCCAGTTGTTGGGGGTTTTTTTTTTTTTGCAATTTCTCTTTATTTTCTGATGTGCTAAACTTGAGTTGAGATTTTTAAAAGTTGAAAGTATTTATTGTTGATACTGGAAGCTCAGGTTAGGCAGAGTTACACACAGATCTGCAGTTGGAGAGGTAGAGACAGAGTGACAGATAGAGAGAGGGGGGGAGAGAGAGAGAGAGAGAGAGGGGGGGGGAGAGACTCACACACACACACACACAGACAGAAACACAGAGGCAGTGACACAGAGAGGATGGGGGGCGAGACAAACAGACAGACAGACAGACAGCGGGAGAAGGAGGGGGGAGGAGAGACAGAAAGAGAGAGAGAGAGAGAGTTTACACAGAATTAATTGCTTTTCAATGAGAAGTTACTAAGGGCCCAGTTCTCTGTGTTCATTTGTTCTAGGTAATTATGTGTCTTAACGTGTTTGCTGAAAAGTGTAATTGGTCATTGCTCGTTCTTGCTGAGCAGTACAAGGTAATATCACCATATTTCTGTACAAAGTAACTAAACTGATGAGCGTCTTTTCTGTTTCTGTGGGTGGTTGGCGGGTGCTCTGGTGTGGTTTGCTTCTTCTTTCCTATCTCCCCTCCTTCTTTTTTTCTGTTTGTTACTCTCTTGTAGCACCTAATCTTCGGCACTTATATGACCTTATTTTGTGTTGCAAGTGCCGTAAAACTCTTACTAAAACTAAAATCCCCCCGGGGCAGTGCCACTGACTGTAGTGTCTTTAGGCCATTCCCAAAGGGGGGACATTTCTCATTCAAGCACAGTAGAATTGTAAATGGGCTGATTCATGTTACGCTCATAACTGTGCCTGATCGTCAACAGGGAACTGCTGCTTTTTCTTTCCTAATCCTTACTATTGTCATTTTTCCTCTACTTCTTTTGTATGTTTGTCACTCTCTTGTGACCTGCTATTTCCGGGGTGGCTTGATAGTCAAAGCAGACCTTGGGCTGTTGAAGCTAGAGAGGTGAGCAGAATAAGTCTGATTCCCTGTAAAGACTTCTCTGTTGACACCCACCCCTTGGTGCTCATATGACCTTTTGCAGTTGCGAGCGCCATAAAACCCTCTACTATAATGAATAAAACTAAAACTTTTCTGTTTCTTCTCTGATCTTTGTAACTGCCCAATAATACTGAATGTTTTTCATTTTATTTTTCCTCTGTCTTTCTCTCCCACTCCTCTCCCTGTAGTGATCAGAGATGAAATCAGAGCGATCGAGCAAGGACAAGTGGACAGGGAACGTAATCCTGTGAAGGTTGGTTGCTTTATTTTGTTTGGTTGGCTTTTATTTCAATCTCTCAGTGGGTGGTTGACAGGTGCTGTGGTGTGGTTTGCTTATTCTTCCCTATCAAGTGTCTATCGTCCTTATCTCTTCTCCTCCTTCCCTTTGTAAGTAACTGTCTTCTAGTAACACCTCTAATCTTCAGCTCTTACATAACCTTTTTGTGTTGCAAGTGCCATAAAACTCTTACTAAACCTAAAACTCATTCTCTCATTTTCTTTTGGAATCTTTTGGAAGAATGATGATGAAGATTGATTGTGTGAGCCATTTATTGAGGCCCCAAAGTTTAATTTCTGTCAAATGGAGAAGGTGCATTAAGTTGTATGCTTTCCTATCAACTGCTTTTAAAATTACAGTGTTGTATTCTATTTTTGAGTTGAAGTTCTCCGAGACAGTTGCAAATGTGTAATAACGACAGAATCTAATTTTGCATGAGACAGAATAACTGTTTATTCTATAGATTCATGTTTTTGTTTTACAACAGTTAAATAGAGCTGGAATTATTTTGAATACAAAACTGAACAACACTTTACTTTTTGAAAATGATTTATCCAACCTACAAAAGAAAACTTGAACTGGGTAGTCTTTTGACGTAGCTTACTCTGCAAATTTCACCCTTCATATTAGCCTGTGGAATATGTGACGTTTGCATATTGCCTCACATTATAAAAGGATTGACACTTGTAAAGAAGACGAAACACACAACCTCTTTGCTCGCCTACCTGCCGGAAAACTGATATATTGTTTTTCTTTTACAATGAGACCTCGTGTATTCAAAACGAGACAATACGAGACGTGGCAAGAAGGGAAAATAATCGTGATATCAAAGAATCGTTATTGCAACATTGGCAACATAGTTAATTCCCATTTTTACATTTCAAAACAACAGTTAGTACAGAATAGATCACACAGTCAGTACAGAATAGATCACACAGTCAGTACAGAATAGATCACACAGTCAGTACAGAATAGATCACACAGTCAGTACAGAATAGATCACACAGTCAGTACAGAATAGATCACATTTTTCATCAAAGCCAAAGAGGAGTTTGTTTAATGTTTGACGGCTTTTACTTTACAAATTCTTGGAAATCAGTGTAGTTGAATGCTGAAACAATACTGAACTCACAGCATCCGCATCTCTCATTTAGCCATCTATAGGAAATGACATGCACTTATTCAAAAGAAATGGATGTTGTCATTAATTACTTTGCCTAAGTAATTTTCAAGAGAGGTGACACTTTCATTTACTTTAAAATTGTTCATTAATCATATACAGGCAAGAATGAAGATTTAGTCAATGTACATTTTGTTTCTTCTTCAGCTTGCACCACACACTCAGGCCGACGTCATTTCTGGAAAATGGGACCGTCCCTATTCTCCAGACTCTGCCGTGTTTCCAGCAGTAAGTTTTTTTGTTTTTTGTTTGTTTGTTGTAATGGATCTGATAGGCACCGACAGCTATTGACACATTATTATCAGAAACATAAGGATTGGATGATAGTGATAAGAGCAGGCACATATGTGTAGTTGTGAGCTCCGTAAAACTTTCACCAAGCCTAAAACACATAGAAGACACCCCATCTGTGCACACTAGCGTCCCCTGTCCTGATGTAGCCTACCAGAATTGTTTAATCTTTCTCCTGAGTGATGGCACTCATGAATTCTTGGATTTGTAAATCAGATCATTTAGTACCTTTCAACTATAAACTATGGGGTTGTTTGATTCAGTCGAAGTTGCAGCATATTTTTGGGAAAGCAAATCCAAGAACACATGTACAAAATTTTAACAAATTGGTCACAAAACATGGAAACACTATTTTCCCTCTGTTGTCATATGACTCGATGATTGTGGTTTCTGAACATCATTGCCTGGATGAACAAAAAGGATTGGTTGCTTAAGTGACGCGGTGTCAAAAAAGCTTATCACTTAAGACAACATATTGGCAGTGATAAACACTTTCAATTTCGAAGTGTCTAATTTAATAGTCATAAGTAAATACTAACTAGGGGTCATTTTTTATTCTTTTTCAAAGCTACCAGTGATAACTGATATGAATTCTGAATTCTGGCTTATTGTATCTTCTGCCAGTATTTCTAATATTATACCTCCGCTTTTAATAGGTTTATTAATTTTTTTTCATTTTCTTAACCTGGTCACACTAAGTCCTTTGCTATCTGGACAACATACGGATATGGACACAATCAGACATGAAAATTGACACTGTATTCCTTGGTTAATCTGGACTTTCTCTTTTTCTTTCAGGCTTTTGTGCAGCCAGGCTCAAAATTCTGGCCAACAGTATCACGCATTGATGATATCTACGGAGACCAAAATTTGATGTGTACTTGTCCTCCTATGAGCGAGTACTCCTCTGGGGATGAGACAGACTCAGTCAGCAAGGCTTCCAACTGATTCCAAGTACCCGATCTACGCTCGGCCTGAAAGCATGAATGAATTCCAACACTTTTCAGGGAGTTTCCCGGTCAAAATGTAATGAAATAAAAGGGTAGGGGATACAAAAATGATTATGTCATATATATATATCATCATACACTAAGTCCACATTGCCTTAAATCATGTTGATTTGTAGTTTTTTTAGTAAATTTTTCTTTGGACACCTCCCAGCTCTGGTCATAACTATACATTGGCATCTTTGCTTGATGGTGTTTCTTCCACTTGAGACAACCACATGAAATGATAAGTGTTGAATGCCCCGATGCCCCGAACCTGAAGTTCGCACATGTAAGAATTAAACTTGTAAGTGGCAGTGAAAATGTAACATTCCACAGCCATTTTTGATGAGGTGACGGGTTCAAATTACTTTTCCCGGGGACAAAATGTTATGTTCACGGAATGAAATTTCCACATTGCAATGTTGATGCTTCCACTCATCTCCACATGTACATCTTTAAGAGTGTGAGACCTTGCATCCATGAGTCACACATATTGTGTTGGCACATTTTGGTTTCTTGAAGTTGTGTAAGCTTTAACTGTCGACCAAAGATTTTCCTCACTGCCTGTGATACCATGTACAAAGCTGTTAGTATGTTTTGACAAACAAAGTATATGACACTTTTTGCAGACAAATGAGATGTTACAGTGAGCTGTAGACATATGGCACTATTTCCATACATTACATGAGAATCTATACATATTATATTTGTGAAAGTTTGTCACTTTGGCCGCCTAAAACTTCCCAACCACTGAACTTTCGAATTTGACAAAATTAACGGTGGTTCAGAATCATTAAAGGGTGCACAGTTGTAATATGAAGTCTGAATCAGTGTAGTTTAATTTTCAGTTTTTCATTAGTTTCGTTTAGATCTTATCTTGGGAAAGTTCATCTTCTTAGACGCCATTGTAAACAAGTGAGAGTTCTGTTCACAAACAGTGAATACTGGTTCCACCATGACTTGACGATCGATTCTTTTGAGTCCGTTCATCGAACAAGGTACCCAGTTTGTTATAAATATACGACATCTCTTTACAATGGGAAAATTATACAGGCAGTTTCCTACTATGCATATTTATTACCAATCTCTTCTATAATTTCTTGGGTTTGTGTTGTGCTTGCCCGTGTCTATCTCTGTGGGATTTGTTCGAGTGAGGATCATCAGGGGAAAACTAACAACATAGGTGATTGCAATAAATAGATCAAGAAGGTTATATTCTGTCATATTGCTAAAAGTATGCCCATGAAAACATCGATTTAACCCCTTTGTTGTCTTATTAAGTACCTGTATGTCACAAAAATGCCTACTTCCTGGCAAGGAAAGGGTTAATTATCATTATGGATGTGATAGGTTAACTTCTCAAAAATATCATCTGCATTAGATGATGGTATACGGTCTCAAGTGCAACTAATTCGATGTCCTTAGTAGATTCAATGACAGATGAATCGGTGAGCAGCTGCTTTTTCTGATCTATTTTAATGGCTGTTTTGCTCTTATTGTTCTCTTGAGGAGTCCGTGTATGCTTTAAAAAAAATGTTGCCAGATGATCTGTCTTGTAAACTTTGCTTGCACTGCCAACAAACACTATGTTGTTTGTAGTTGGTAATGCTTGCTCCTTTTCTTGATTGGGTGGTTGGTGAGTGCTGCGGAGTGTTTTTCTCCTACAATTTTTTCTCATTGTTACTTTTTACTCTGTCCTGGTCTCGGTGAAATGTGACCATTGTTATGATCCTGGTTTGCCTTACTTAAACTACAACAGAATTCACCACAAGTGCATCCTATATACATTATGTCCACTTGATGTCACTTCATACTTTTCTACCTCTTCCAGTCTTCACTGAATGGCGTATCCCATTCCACTATCTCATTTTCATGATTGCCTCTATTTTCACGTGCTCGAACTGAAATCCTTTTGTATTGCAATATTTCACTAGAAATTGCGCTTGTCTTCACCTACTTTAGAATTACCGTACTATAATCTTAAATCTGTTTATGTGTACCCTTTTTGAGACGTATTGATGTGGGTAAATAGATGAGCAGTGCTTGTTATTTTAGTTCATATGCTCTGCATAAATCATGTTCTAGTTTCAGGTAAGTTTGGACCAGACAGAGTATTAGTTTCATATTGTGAGAGCTCTTTCTTCGAGACTACAAGAGGCTGATCTATGGGAAAGAGCAGGAAAATGCATGCAAATTTGTTTGGGTTTTTTTTTTTTCCTTTCACCATCTCAAAATATTTCTTGGACATTACAAAATTGTTCAGTTTTCATTATGTACGAGATAACTTCCCTTAGAAAATTTCCATTGATCTTTTGTTTCATTTGTCAATATTATTATATTATTATGTTATGATTTGATGATAGTAACATTCCCTGAGAAAATATGATTGTTTCAACGATGTATTTTGATCATTTTTGTTTGAGTGGAAAACTGGCTCTCTGAATTGTTAAAGGTAATCTGCACAACATACCCTCTTTTTGTTACAACTGCAAACTTATATGACAATATGTATGGGGAAATGACACCTCGTTCTGTCTCTATGTGTATCGCACAAAGTACTTCAATTATTATAATATTTCTTCCTAATCAGCAGTGCACTCAAGTATTGTCTTTGTTTGCACACCTAATTGGGATTTGATCTGATGTCAGCTGTTTGACTTTTAGTCTGAAATCTACCTTCTTTTTTTTGTAATAGAATATGAAAGCTCAGGTCTGACCAAATTTAAATCAGATGTCTATATTTTTTTAATTTTTTTTTTGGTTATGTAATTCATGTACAATTTATTTGGTTTGATGCACCTACTTACTCCACAATTTCCCAATCTTCTACAAAAAGCTCAAGTGTAAATCTCAGTCTACTGTGTCAGGTTGTTAAGAAACATCACAGTGCAAACTGTTTTGCACCATAAAATCTGATGTTTAAACTTTTCTTTTTCGTTTTCTTTCAAGATGAATACCTATGATTTTGTTCCCATAATGAGTCAGATAAAGTGCTGCTATGACACTGAATACAATGAATTTCCTCAACGCTGACTGTGCCTTAAATTCAGATACTATAAGCTATTGCCAGATTTTTCCATACACCTTTTCCAAGTATATGTGTAGCATTGTGGTGAAATCAAATGCTCGTCAAAGTAATGAAAATGTAGGAAGCAGACTTTTTTTCTGCCCATTGGACAATTATTATTGGATTATTTTTTTTGGTTTTAGGCTGAACTTCTTTTATTTCCTTTGAAAAAAACATTCCTGCTTGGATTTTACTGAAAAATGTTAATCAAGGACATAAAAAATCGCGGGCAGTATTGCGTACAGACATATCTCAAAGGTTACCAAAAATGACTCATGTGTGTATGCTATACTGCCCACGAAATGTAAATTTGCTGTTTCCAAAGAAGCAACAGCTTTGGAAGGCACCAAACTCTCATGGCCATTTTCTTGCTAATTTTGCATCTGACATCAGGCCACCTCCACTTCCTTCGTTTGCAAATATCTTGACTTCTAGTCAAGATAGATGGGTATTTTTTTTTAAATCAAAAGACAAGCAATTAATTCCATATGCCGAAAAAAATTGACGGGCACCTGATTCCACCTCATCGTGACTTACACATATGCACTATGCAATATTTAATATGTTCAGCTAACGTTATGGTGATAAATAATAGTCGTGATGGAAAACAATGAATAAAGTGATTATCATGTGTTCATTTTTTTTGTTTTGTTTTCCATTTATTGAAATGAATCGTGATTTATACTGCTCATTTAGTTAGAAGAATTTATTTATGACAAGTTCACTGAGATAGGAGAAGTACAAGGCAGCTGGGTATTACTGGATTTGCATTTTGACGGGCATACTTTCTTCAGAGAATATCGTTGAAGGAAAAGAGATCAAGTGAGGTAGTGCTTGATGAAGCCCAAGTGGAACACTCATTGTTAAAAACAATCAGGAAACGACGAATTATACTGTTTTTGGGACATCTGAAAAGACATAAAGGTCTTGAACATCTAGCTCTTTCTGGCAAAATCGAAGGCAAACGAGGCAGGGGTCGGGGTAGGCCCAGAGCAACCTACTTAGGGAATCTAAACAAAAATGGGTAACAGGGAAAGATCAGGAAAACGGAGCTTTTTAAGAGCATCTGAGCAAAGGAATGAACGGAGAACCATGATTGCCGATGTCTGTCGCGGATCTGGCGCTGGATGATGATGACTTTCTTCAGAAAAACAAAACAAAAACAAACCAATCAGGAAGACGTCAAGATGTATGCAGTGCAGCAGATAGTCAGAAGGGTACAGAGATGGGCTGTGGGTGGTTAGCGGGTGCTCTGGTGTGGTTTGCTTCTTTTTTCCTATCAAACATCTATCATCCTTATCTCCCCTTCTTCTTTTTTATGTTTGTTACTCTCTTGTAACACTTCTAATCCTCTGGCGCTCATATGACCATATGCAGTTGCGACGACCATAAAACCTCTACCAAAAAAAAGAGATTGACTGTCATGTTTAATGCTGGGTTTTTTCCGTCATGATTCATAAATGCAGTCGAAATTGTCTAAGACAGCCATCCATTGTCAAGGAAAAAAGTGGTGGACATCATTCAGAGTGTCATTATAACTCAGTAAAAACACAAGGAGAAAGTGGGAAGTGGTCATTTCTACAGGTAGTTGTCAGAATATGAACAGAATATGCCTCTTTACTCAGTCTTTATTGACCTTACCAAGGCTGTCGACACGGTCAACAGAGAAGCCCTGTGGACTGTCCTGGAACGGATTGGCTGCCCTCCCAAGTTCCTAAAGATCATCCAGCTCTTCCACACAGGCATGAGAGGGCAAGTCCTTGCAAGTGGCAACATGACCGACGAATTCGAAATTACTGATGGCGTCAAACAGGGCTGTGTCCTGGCACCAGTCCTCTTCAATATTCTTCTTCACCGCCATGCTTTCCCACGCCTGCAATGGATCTTGACAAGGGAATATACCTAAATTATCGACTGGATGGCTCTCTTTTTGATCTACCTCGCCTGCAAGCCAAGACAAAAATCAGCACAAAGCTCCTTCAGGAGGCGTTCTTCGTCAATGACTGCTCCTTGAATGCTCACTCCGAAGAGGACCTGCAAACAATGCTCTCTCGCTTTGCCGAAGCCTCAAAGCTCTTTGGGCTTACAATAAGCATCGGGAAAACTGAAGTTCTTCACAAGCCTGCCCCACAAACTAACCCACTGTCTCCAAACATCACTATCAATGGCAACAGCCTGAAGAACACCAAGAACTTTAAATATCTTGGAAGTATCATCTCTGCAGACGGCTCCATCGATCAGGAAATTGATTCAAGAATCAGCAAAGCCAGCCAAGCTCTCGGTAGACTGAAAAACAAGGTACTAAAACAGCACAATGTCCGGCTGTCATCAAAAATCAAAGTGTACAAAGCTGTTGTGCTCTCCTCCCTCCTCTACGGTTCGGAGACCTGGACACTTTACAGGAAGCACATCAACAAATTAGAGCAGTTCCACCAAAGAGCTCTCCGCAGCATACTCGGCATCCGGTGGCAAGACTGCATCACCAATATTGAGGTCTCAACCGATCAAGCTCACAAAGCATAGAAAACATGCTCGTCAAAGCCCAACTGAGATGGGTCGGCCATGTCATCCGCATGGAAGGCCACCGAATGCCCAAACAGCTGCTGTACGGCGAACTCGCAAGTGGCAAAAGAAATCTCGGGAGGCCAAAAAAGCGGTTCAAAGACATTATAAAGGAAAACCTTCAGCTCGCACAGGTAACCCCCAAAGAACTCAAAAGAACTGCCACCGAAAGAAACGCCTGGCGCAGGGCCGTCCGTATTGCCAGCAGAAACAGTGATGCAAACTACAGGGAGAGGCTGACTACCAGAAGAGAGAGGAGACATAAGCCAACCACCACAACCACGACATTCCAGTGTCCCCACTGCAACAGACATTGTACATCCAAGATCGGATTGCACAGCCACATACGTGTCCACAGATGAGCTGCAGGATTCATCGTCATCTTCGGCAACGAAGGACTACCTACATACATGTCATGGACAGGTGGCTTTTTGAGCAGGTTGAATTGTACTTTTTCTCTCTTTTTTTAAAGGGTGTGTGTGCGGGGTGGTGGTGGTGGTGGTGGTACTTCTTTCAGATATAAAAAGTACGTTAAAACACAGAGTAAAAATTGTTAATGAAGTGCTTTGCTAAGATTGGTTCCAGTGCCTCTATTCTTTCAGGGCAAACTTTTTACAGTTGAACTTACATTTGTTATGTTAAAAACAAACAAACATTTTTTCCCTTTCAATATAGGATACATATAATATATGATATAGGAATAGGGATACATTCACGTCCCTTAAACATCGAGGGGGCTCTCATGGCCTACAGAGGTTAAGATGTTCGCCTTTCATTCAAAGGTCCCGGGGTTCGAATCCGGGTAACGACGGACAAATTTTCTACTCTAAAATTATCTCATTTCACCTCCTTTCTTGCTCTCTATCAATGTTCTGTCGCCTGCTTTCGTCTCCACTTACTGCCCCCACCCCCTCACCACCTTTGGTACCTGTGAGTAATTGGCGGGTGCTCTAGTGTGGTTTGCTCCTTCTTTCCTATCAAACATCTATCGTCTTTATCTCCCCTCCTTCTTTTTTGTGTTTGTTACTCTCTTGTAATTGTAACACCTCTAATCCTCGGCACTTATATGACCTTACTGCGTTGCAAGGGCTGTAAAACACTTACAAAAACAAAAGCATTGTCACACCTTATGCTCTTAGGGGAAACAACCAAAGCTATTCCT